ATTATTACTTTATTGTTTCCTTATCATTAAAAATCCATGTGTAATGATTATTTATCCAACCACGGAAACTTCTGAAAAAAACGTATATTTTCATTGTTCCTCGGCTACCAGTTCCTCTTCCAGTGTGATGTTCTTGTTTGTATAGAGTGTTTAACACCTTCTGTGTTTCCTCCACAGGCAGCCTCCCTGCCCATGTCCATCATCATAGTGGGAGTGGGCCCTGCTGAGTTCGACGGTGAGTCAATTGATTCATTAATCAATTAGGAGCTGTTCAGGCGATGAGATGGCCGGTTATGTCCTTGTTGCTATGCGTTGTTAAAATCATTCTGATATACAGGAGCACAGTAAACATTTAACGCCACTCACAGGCATTTAAATCCTCTGTTTATTCCTTCCCTCGCCTCCACCTGCCTGTAATACCAGGCAGCTACGCTCACGCTTTAATCATTTAACAGAGGGCTGTGGTAAGCCCCGGACAGACACAGAATGTCAGCCACAATGTTGTAACACAGAAACGACATCCCAGCGGAAAACCCAACCTCTTAATGCTGAATAGCAAATGGGAACCTGCATGAAAAGTTTAATGACTCCGGCACATTAAAAGAGAGATGTGTGTTCAATTGATGGAAGAAGAAAAAATCCCTGTCTTGGTGTTTCCAGACAGGATCAAACAGACTCTGGTTGTGTCAGTCAGAAGAGCTCTCCTGATGCCGCCGGGCTTTAATTAGCAGGTCTTGGTGATTCTGAAGCAGCGTTGCTTGATGAAAATGTGTGTGATCATTGTGTGATGAAACTGATTGAAGCAAATATGGATTCAAAGTGCTTGTGCATGATGCTGTAACCTGTAAACTCTAATGAGCTCATTGTCAGAGGTTTTTAAGTTTGCAGCGTGAGGAGAGTTTTTACTGCATAGAGATGGTCACAGATACAGTATCGTCCTCGCTCATATTTATTCATACCCTCCCATTAAAGAAGGAAAAAGCAGCTTTAGTCACTGAAATAAGAACAAATTGACAAAAGTAATAATAAATAAAAATTTAATAAAAATTGTGACTTTTTTTTTTTCTTTCAAATCGTGGATCAACAGAAATATATATTTAAAAAAAAAAACCAAGAAGCATGATGGGAACCCCACACTAATATTTAATGAACAACCCTCTGAGCCAATCACTGCCATCAGGTGTTTCCTGTAACTCTCCATCAGACGTCTGCACCTGTTGACAGGTGTTTAGATTCATTGCTCATCAGCAAAGTGCTCTCATTTGTCCAGGACAGTTTTGGTTTTTTGTTTTTTGGGGGTTTTTTTCTTTTCAACCACAATTCAAAACCAACGTTTTATAATTTAGCAAATTTTTATTATTACTTTTTTCAGTTTCTAGTTATTTAAGGGACTGTTGTGAATTTTGCCATTTCTTTAATGGAAGGAGATGAATATATTTGGGGACGTCTGTATAGATACACAGCATGAAAAACATTTTTCTTCTCATTTTATCAGCATCTGAACTGTATATTTTGCTATAGCTATGCTATAAAAAGCCGACATCTGTCTAAATAATGTAGTGTAATGAGTCAGGAACACGTCTGGTCAGTTGAAAATTAGGATTTGAAAGCAACACTTAAACTAGTTTTCTAAATATATTCTATTTAACAACACAGATTAAAAAGCTGATTTAATGTCATTTATTATGAAATTTAACCGTACTAAGGATGCAGTGCCTCCTGGCCTCATGTCCGCTCCATGAGTTTCTGGGTTTCAGCAGTTCTCTTCTTCTTGGTTCGTGGTTTCTTTGCAGCAGTTCTGAAGGTCCGACTCACACAGTCTCCTCCCAGCAGCTCGTGTTCACATGTGTTTGCTGCTTGAACTCCGGGAAGCACTGATGAGGCTTTAATCTGAGCTGCTGTTAGTTGACAATATCTGAGGCTGATGACTCTAATGAACGTCTCCTCTGCAGCAGAGGGAGTTCTTGGTTCCTGCCGCGGTCCTCATGAGAGCCACTCTAATGTCACTGTTTGATGGTTTTGTAAAGATGCTGCCAGCAGGGTGCCACAGCTCATCAAGGCAAACATA